TACACATTCAATCACTGATTCACTTGCTCTTTCAGGGGCCAGCCTGATACAGGGAAGGGCAGTTTGATTCCTGCCCTTGTTAACATTGTTACAATGTATAACTTACTTATGAAACTAAATACATTCAGTTGAAAGTTGAAAGGTGAGGAGTATAAAATATAAGCTACAAATGCCATGGCACACAAATAGATAAAAATACCAAAATACAAGGGGAGATACAAAATGCACACATACACATTTTAAAACACAATTCCTTATCTTAAAGTGAAAGAGAGAGAAAGGAAGAAAGGTAGAAAAAGAGAAACATATCCAAAGAGGGGAGAGCAAATGCAGGCAAGAGGAAAAGGGGGCTTTCTGCTACAGTGGCATGTGGCTGGACTTGGGGGGAAGTCGGGGGGTTGAGGGGTGGCGTGTAGCTGGATACAGGGGTGGAGGGTGTGGTGCATGGCCAGACACGGGGAGGGAGGTGGTGGGGTGGCACGCAGCCGGATGCAGAGCAGCGGTAGTGCGGTGTGGTGGGTGAGGGCGGCCACCGCTGTGTGCGAACTTCCCCTCCCGGCCAGCCTGCTGGCTAGGTGGCACCTGTTTCAGCCCTGCCCACTCTGTCCCCACCTGCACACACCTCCTAGGGCCTTCCCAAGTACCCCCAATTGACAACCCCTTCTGTAGGAATTTTAGGGAGGACAGTGGGACACACTGTTTTGTGCCTTGGCCAAAGGACTTTGCTGTGGAGGGAGGTATTACTTGTACTTTCTCACAGCCGACTGTGCCATTTATTATGTGTTATGGCAGTGGTGCTTACCCCTTAGGTCCCATGGGCCAGATGAGTAGTGTATGGCCAGTCCACCAGTTGGATTGCACCCTGTGCACCCAGATCAGCCTTGTGCTGCTTCAGCCTGGCCCTCCACACCCATATCGGAGCCCATGTACCCTATCTAGAGCACAGAACCAGAAAATCTGACCTGTGGGGTACCCCATGGGTCCAGAAATTTGGCAGTGGGGAAGCAGTGGCCAGTCCCCTGCTGCCACATTTCAGGACCTGTGGGGAGCCATTTTGATTGCTCTAGTTACTGCCCCAGGGAGTTAAAGCAAGCCTGACAGAATTGGTAATATGAGCTGTTGTTTGAAAAGAAGTTTGTCTTAATTGTTCTAGTCAGTAAGCATCTGATTTCAGTAAACCAAGACTTGCAAGGTCTTACTAAAGTTTCTCTATTCTTTATTTTGAAAACTTGATTGCACATTAACTGTGTGGCACAGAGGCTTTCCAAAGAGAAGTGATACAACAAATTAAATTTGCTGTTGAAAGAGCATTAATTAGCTTTGGTCAAAGTCAGTGGTATAGCTTGAAAGGTGCAGCCAGGTGCTTGGCAACATTGGCCTCTGTTCCCAGTCAGGTAAGAATGCTGCTGATAAGCGTGGTTTCAAACAAAAGGCTGCTGTTTCATAATTAATTGTTTCTGTTTATACACTCTAGCTAGTTTCATTGCCATGCAACTCTTTAATAACAAAAGTAAAATGTTATCCCTTCCGGTGAGATCTCTTACCTCCCATCTATGGGGCTTACTGTGAGATGTCTTACAGTGTCCTTTTCATTATGCTTTCATTTATCATTCAGTCAAACTGTTGAAAATATTCTGAAGTTGTTAATTTTTAAATCCCAAAGTCCCAACGGTGTTAAAGGAGTTTCCCTGTAAACACAGAGCTATGTTGCTCCACGCCCAAGTATGACACTCCTAATCTTAACTTGGTCAGATTGGTAATGAAGAATTGGATCAGATTCAAACCAAACATGTATAAAAATCCCCAATTTGTTGGTGCTTTGGCTACACCATCTCAAACAAGGACACTGCCAGCTAAACCTCCACATTTGATTTAGTAATGCTGCTTCGCAGATTACAGGTAACCTTGTGGATAGGCTGCTGACAAGAGAGGCAGAAGCAGGTCTACAGACAAATCTTTTATTTGCTTGCACTTGAAAACATGAAAACCAACATTTATACTAAACTTTATCTAGCTACCCCCAACAGCAAAACATTAGAACCTTAACTGGCTGGGGAGACTTGGGAGGTAGAAGGAGGGTGGCATGCATGTTGGCAGCAGGTCTTTTTGAATTTGCCGAGTTCTCCAAATTTCCCTCCAGCCTATTCCCAATATTTATAAATGGTTTGTTTTAATATTATAATAAATGATCTCTTATTGGTTTTATTTCAATTTCTTTGTTTGATGGAAACTTTTGGAATTGGACTGAACCAGACTTCTTGTGGACTTGGAAGCTGTCAATTAGTTGGGTTTTATATCCTTGGATATATCCTTCTTATCTCCTTTTCTTCCCCATTGTGGAATGTTGTTCCTGTTTCTTCTTTGCCTTACTTTATTGTCTTTTCTGATAAGGGTGTTTAGGTTTTTACAAACTATCTAAGACTTTTTAACAAAAATGTATTTATTATAGCAAAATAGCATCAAATACATTTGGTTACATCAATCACTACTACTATTTTAAGATAAAGCTATGATACAGTATATATGGATTATTTAATGTCTGGTCTTGCCTTATCTTCTTTCAGGCCTTGTGCTTTGTTTAATTGTGTTTGATGGCTTCTTTACTTGCTGACGAAGTCGTCACATCTGCACAGGTTTGAACTATGGTCACTCAGAAACAGGCTTTGGGCTTTCTGTGTAGTGACACTTCTGCAGCTATGCCTAGATTAGAAATGGCCAAGGGTGGCAACAAGGCCCAAAACATTATTAATCTTGAAACATATGCAACAAGTGTCTCCTCTAAAACACAAACAATCATCAAACTGTGATAGCGTTAAGAACAGTGGTTCTTGACCTTTTTAGGCTCAAGGCACTTCTGAATAGACTTGGAGGCCCCCACTCAGAAAATGCCAGCTCTTGGTTTTCACACTTTTTTTGGCCTACAGAAAAATAATAGAGCAGTTTTTCTGTTTCAGAAAACTCAGAAAGGCCACCAGTTTATCTTGTGAATCAGGGTTGTGAACCTACTGGTGCCCACATTGCATAGCAACCCATAACACCTTTGAAAGGCTCTCAAGGCACGCGAAGGTGGCACGGCACCCCGGGTGGGATCGGTGTTACAGTGATGATGTTGCTGTGATGGTCCAGGAACGATGCAAGAGGCGAGGGTTTCTTAGGGCAGTATCTTACTGGACCACCTGCCCAGCTGGGATAGAGTTAAGGCAGACTTTGGACAACAAGGCATTTTTCATCAGGTTTCTTTATCTTAACACTGGCACTGTTTTGTTCTCCAAGTGACACTTCATGATTTTCCTTGGCACCGTTGCTGAAGGGGGCACGGCTGCATGGTCAAATTGAAGCTGGAGAGAAACCAGCTGTAAAGTCACTGGGTGTATTCAGACATCCAGGTTGTAGCCGTATCCATCTAGAGGCAAAAGGAACCAGAACTGGGGGCAGAGGTGATCACTCCTATTAGACCAACTAGATTTTTGCTTAAAAAAAAAAAAAAAAAAAAAATTGCAAACTTCCGGGCACAAGCGCCCTTCTTCAGGCATAAGAGAAAACTGTTTTCTTCCGAGCGGGGCTGGTGCCCTGCCAGCCGGTGCCTGGTGCGCGCTCTGAGGCAGTGGGGCTGTGGGGGCCGCCCCGCCCCATCACCTAGGCGGGCAGGCCTTCTGCCACACCGTGGGGCAGGCCCCAGCTCCGCCCATCCTTTGCCAGGATCCAAGATGGAGGCAGCGCCTTGCATCGGTGTAGTCTCCATGGAAACGCCAGGAGGAAATCTCCATGTTCTCGCGAGACCTCTCATGCGCACGCACCGTTCCCGAGGCAACGAAGCAGCGTGAGGACGGGAGTTTGGCCCTCGCCGGCTGCCGTTCGCACCGCGGGACTGGAAGGTGAGAGAGGCTGTGGGGCGGCCGCGGTTACCATGGCAACGTGTAGAGGGGCCCAGGTGAGGGCTGCACTGGAGTGGGGGGGAGGGCTGTGGGCGCGGCCCCCCCTCCCCGAGAAGAGGCGGGAGTCGCTGTGGGCACCTCGCTGACGGCATCGCCCCTGGGCTCGGGCCTTCGCAACGGGGGGGAGGGGGGAGGCTCCTGACGCCTGCCGGGGGGGTGGGCAGGGTCGCTGAGTGCGGCGGAGGAGCAGAGACTGAGGAGGGATTTGATAGCAGCCTTGATGACAGCAGTGCGCCCTTGTGGAGAAGGCCAGGGGCACACTGGGTGCATTAGTAGGGGCGTTGCCAGCAGATCGAGGGAAGTGATTCTTCCCTTCAGTTCGGCACTGGAGAGGTCACATCTGCAGTACTGCATCCAGTTTTGGGTCCCCCACTACAGATAGGATGTGGACATTGGAGAGGGTCCAGCAGAGGGAGCCAAAAATGGTGAGGGGAGTGGGGAACATGACTTCTGAGGAAAGACAGGGAATTGGGTTTATTTAGCCTGGAGGAAAGGAGAGGGGATTTAACAGCAGCCTTCAACTACCTGAAGGGGGGTTCAAAAGAGGATGGAGCTAGATGGGTCTCAGTGGTTGCAGGTGACGGAACAAGGAGCAGTGGTCTCAAGTCGCAGCAAGGGAAGTTTAGGTTAGATATTAGGAAGACCTTTCTCACTAGAAGGGTAGTAAAACACTGGACCAGGTTACCCAGAGAGGTGGTGGACTCTCCATCCTTGGAGGTTTTTAAGACCTGGCTAGACAAAGCCTTGGCTGGGATGATCTAGTTGGGGCTGGGCCTGTTTTGAGCAGGGGGTTGGACTAGATGCCTTCTTAGGTCTCGTCTGACCCTAATTTTATACTATTATTAAGAATGGAGTTATAAACAAAACAGAAAGTATCATCCTGCCCCTTTATACATCCATGGTGCATCCACACCTTGGACACTGTGCCTAGTGTTGGCCCTATGCCTAAAAAAGGTGATAGAAGAACTAGGGAAGGGCCAGAGAAGGGTAGCAAGGGTGATTAGCAGTATGGAGGGGCTTCCATATGAGGAGAGACTAGAGGCTAGGCCCATTCAGTTTAGGAAATTGATGCTTGAGGGGGGACATGAAAAGGGTTTACAAAATACTTAATGGCAAAGAGAAAGTAAATAGGGATTTATTATTTGCACTGTCTCACAATACAAGAACTAGGGGTCACAAAATGAAATTAGTAGGTAGTAAATTTAAAGCTAGCAAAAGGAAATTATTTTTCACAGAGCAGGTCATTAAAGTGTGGAACTCGTCACTGCAGGATGTTGGGGAAGCTGAGCATTTGGCCAAAGGGTTGGACAGATTCTTGGAGGAAAGGCACATCGCATCAGTAGCTACCGAGCATGGGAGTTAGGGATACAACCCCTGAATCCCAATTTCCTACAGTGTAGATGCTGGAGGCTGCAGGTGAAAGAGAAACGGGGAAGAAAGCGCTGGTCATACCCTGTTCACTCTCCCTTCTAGCATCTGCTCCTTGCTGCTGTGTGACAGGACCGTGGGCAAGATGGGCCTGTGGTCTCACTTAATAAATGGCAAGTCTTATGTTCTTACCCAGTGTGTTGGGGGAAACTGGGCTGGGCTTCATATATAAATTATATAGCTATAGATTTACATTCCAGGAGTATAGATTATGTTGGTAGCAAGTCACTAATGATGACACACGTTCCTGTATTTTGATTCCCAGCCTTATAATAGTTGAATTTTCTAACCTTTGTGTTTGTCCAGTTTCCACCACACAGCTACATACATTGCCTAAAGTCTTGGAGCCAGGTTGTTGCCCAAGATTCTGTGTCACAATGAATGCTGAAAGGGAGAGTGAAATGTGTGAGAGGCAGTCGTTTTGGTGGGTGATGTCTTTTATTGGACCGGTGGTATGGTTGGGATTGGATGTACTCGGACTGTCTGGCTAGAAATAGACATCTCCAAATGAAATGGATCATCTGTGTCACAGCACAGTTGATCCACTTCATTGGGTAAAACACATGTTGCCCCTTATCCTGCCCATTGATGGTGTACAGTAAGGGGTGATGTGCTGTCCTAGGGCTTGAGGAACCCTGTCCTTCAAATCTCTGCAGTTCTTGGACAGGATTTGGCCCCTCAAGCCTGAGAGTGCCTGCCCAGCTCTCCCTGCTTACCCAGATCTGCCCCTGGGATCTTCAGGGGCACATCTGAGTAAAGGGAAACCCTGACTGATTCCGCTTACCTAGATGGGCTCCCTGAGATTCCAGAGGTGGGTCCTTGCATACAGGCACAGGGCTCCTGTGCCTTTACTTAGAGATCTGTTCATGCTTTCCTCACTTATGGAAATGTACCCCTGAGGAGCCCCAACTTCTTTGCTTAAAGAGAGGTACCCCAAGATATCCCAGGGTGCCTTTCTGTAAGCAGGAAAAAATGGGCTGGTGCTCCAGGGGCTTGAGGGGCCTGATCCTATATGGGAATTCCCAGGATGCACAGGTCTGGGCCCCTCAAGCCCCCCGTACAGGGCATTTGGAGACTGCGGGCAGCTAAGGATGCTTAAAACTTTTATGGCAGCACAAATGCAACATCAAGGAACATCTGTTTCTACCCTCTGGGTGTATCCAGATGAATGTGTGCGCAAGGTTTTCAGTGCTTCAGAGCTATTTGAGGTGCCGCAAGCCACATGTGGTGCACATGCACCTGTTCATTGTGCTGCTAATTTGCAGTGTAGTGCCAAAATTTGAAACTGAGAGATTATGGTACCTGCCAAATTTTGGTCATAAAGTGAAGCTGGTTTTAAGCAGACACATGGCTTGGTGATCAGCACAAGACTGAAAGTCAGGAGTTCATGTGCTGTTCTTAACTCTACTTGCTTCCTCTTCAATAAGTTAAAACTAAATTTCCACGTGGTGAAATTGTTAGATGTAATTGTGTTTATAAAGAATATCAAGAATTTCTTATGTGGCTCTATAGAATTGCATGCTAAAGGTAGATCTAAATAGTTTCTTAACACATGAACGACAGTTTACTCATCCATACTGGAATACTGTAAACAGTCGCGTAGGATTTTACTGAAGTTTACAAAAAAAATCATCTTTAAGTTGAGAGCAAGCATGGGAAGATGTGCTTAGGTGTAACCCTCAAAAGACTAATGTTAAGAAAAATTGAATGAAGATTTGTGATCTGATGAATGTTTTTGCCTCCTTTTAAAGTCAAGGGGCTTAGTAAAGGGGTTGAGAATATATGATGTCTTGTAGGATCTGTCCTTTGACTGAAATTATCCTTGAAACCATGGGAAGAGCATTGGTACTATGATGCTAGTCCTGCAAGAGAATAGATTTTATTTTATTTTTTTTATTTATATTGTTCCCCTTGTAAAGCACTATGAATATATAGAATTATGTTCAGTGCTGTGATTTTAATTACATCTTTCATTAGAATGATGATTTTGTATTGTTGAAAGGATGGAGGGAATCTTGTTGAAACCTGTGGGTGTAACTATTATCTTTCTGTGAGATAAATATAGAAACAGTAAAGCTTTTTTGTTGAACCAGATAGCTGGAACAAAAGTAGCTTCCACCTAAAAAAGATACAAGTGCATTTAGTCTGGCTTGTGATGGGTGGGTGGAGGGTTTTCCACTGGGTATTTTTCTATGTAGGTTAGTATGTTTGTGAAAGAGATGCAGGAAAAAAAAACAGAGAAAGAGCTTAAAGCAAAATACATAGCCTGACTAAGCACTGGGAATGAGGTTCTGGGTACAGCTTGCAGGGTGCGTTTTAGTTTGAATGCTCACTAGGAAAAGACTGAGCAAGAACATTGCTGTTTATTTAAGTTCCTCCTTTGTTCAGGGAAATAGGACTCTATGTTTTGTGTTAAAAAATCAAAGATGCCATCATTTTCTTTTCTTAATCAAAACAACCCTCAGGACCCAACATTTTGATTAACTTCTGAGGTCAAAAAAGGGTAATACTGGCTGGTGAGATGTGGAATCCAGTGCTGAGGAGAGAAATATGAGTTGGTATTCCTGTTGAACTGAGGTATAATAAATAATGGACACTAACATTACATTTAATTCTCATCTGATAGTTCACTCTGGTTGTGTTGTATTCTTTTGTCTATGAGCTCTCTTGTTCGTTAAGACCATAAGCCTCTCAGCCTGTTGGTCATACTTAGGTGATATTTTGATGTACTTTAGCCCCTTTGATCAAGCACTGATGCATTTTACAAATGGTCTGTGGTAAACTTAAGGTTCCCGGTCTAAAACCAAACTCAAGGCGATATGCATTGCTTCCAGGAGGTAATGTACCTCAGGCACACAAGCAATGAGAAACTTTATAAATGATGGGTGGTCATATGCATGTTTTGGGGGTTAAATGTAAGAACGAGTTAAGCTCTTTCAAATTAGTTCAGCTACCTGAACCAATAGCAACTTCCACCAAAAACATGCACAAGTCATCCCTCAAATCCGAGGTACTTGTAGAAGGAGGGTAGTAGTTTGTGTGTCTGTGAAAAAGAGGTAGAGGAGCCCCACAGATACAAGGAAGCATCAAAGTCAAGGATACAGCAGTAGGAGCTTGGGTCTCAGAAAAGACCTAGAGTGATTTTTGGACTGAATTCTGGCTGGACTCTAGCACTTGGGGCTGTTAATAAAGATGCTGTCTCCTGTTTGAACTGAACTTTATGCATTCTTGGTAAATGAACAGGGTTGCAATAAACATACATAGCTCAATATCCTGTTTCTCATGAGTGCAGCAACATTCAGAACCTCAACTTCAGCTAATATTTTGGGTTGAAAAAGGGCTAATGTTGTTGAGGCTATTCAGAGAGTTACAAATTGGAGGCTTGGGCTGCGTTTACTGCACTAGATTTCAAACAAATCTAGTGCCCCTCTGGGCAGAAACCTAAAGCAACTGTACTTTTTGGTTGCATTCTACTCAGAGTTTTGAAGTTCATCTGAACTCCAGCAGCCAAT